CATGACAATAAAACACGTGATATTCAACGAACTTAATATTGCAATTTAATAAAATTATAGAAGTCAAGTAAACTAACTTGATCTAGCGCAGAATTCCACACACTGTCGCTGGAGTCCCGCGCACCGCGTCAGCTGTCTTAACTTTGGGGTTGCACTGTATACCTGCAACAAGGAATATTACGATACTTACACTAACAATATTGAAAAATTCAGATGAAATTGACTAGATTTTGAAGTTACAAATTTAAATTTAAACATTTGGAGTACGTACACCGTTGTGAAATTTTTCGTCTGTTACCTTTATATCTGCGGAGAAATATAGCTGATGCCTGTTTTTTACTGAACATTGCACAAACTAATACTATCTAGCTTTAGATACCGCATCACACCCCGTACATTGACGGAACGGCAACAAGGCTGTCAACGAGCCGTTTTCGAGGTAAGACGGCTTTGATATTTGAAAATAGTTATATTTTTTAATTACGAAACTACTTTACTACTACTAAGTTACTATATGGTCGTGAATTGTGCTGAAAGATGAAATGAGGTAAGTAAAAAAAAACGTGACGGAACGTGGCTACTAGATGTCAATGGATCTGCGGTGGCAGACCACTTTCTGAGCTCCGATGCTGGTCACTACATTAGGTTTGATAAAGCTAAGGTTTTAGCGCGGGAGAAGTATTTTGTGCCCCGCAAAATCCGAGAGGCTATTGAAATAAGTAGACGACCAAATTTTAATAGAGACGGAGTCTGGAGCTTGCCACCGACCTGGAAGCCGTGTTTCATGGTGCTCGGTATGCAGCTGCAGATGTTAGTAGTAACGACGTGGTGAGCTGTGTGTGCTGGACTGTTCCCGACAACAATCCTACGGACAGCAGTAGCGAAGAAGAGTTCCAGGACGCGCTGACGCAACGTATCAGCTCCCCGAGTTCCCCACTGCGGAGTGACGTGACGTGGTCGCGAACGTTGCACTCAACCCCTGAAGAAGACCATCGATTATGGTCGAAACTAGTCGGACCGCTTCCGACTAAAAAACTACGCGAGTAAATCCCGTTACTTTTATGTTATAACAAAACATGTCTGAGACTGAAGAGTTATTGAATTTTCAATTTGTATTGCAGGTAAATATGTAGTGAATATCATTTTATTAACTGGGTGATGATAAATTTGGACACGAAATTTCAAATACCTTGGTTACTTGATCACTTGGTATTGAGTTGCTTTTAAAGTTAATTTTTCCAAATATTCAATATTATTCTAATTAGTGAATTAATGAAAAACATAATATTATTTCCGATACAACTACCTAATGAATATGTATAATAAGTAATATATATATACAGTATAAAATATATATAGTATACGATACTACATATATCATATAATATACCTTGACCTTTATATGTACATAATAACTATTTCAAATTGTATTCGAAACATGGCGCAATGAATAAATTAATATGAATATGCATAATCTTAACAGGACTCTATTAATAGAATTATAGATAACAGATTCGTGTTACAATTTTCATACTCGATGGAATTTTCGCTATGTTGCCGCTCTGATTACGTATCTACGCCATCCTCATCTCTCTGTCTCATTTCCTATTTCCTAAAGATTGTTTTTTTTTTTGGAAAGACTGTCTAAAATGTTCATCCAAAACTTTTACAAAGGTAACAAAAGTTTCTGCGACCTAGTTTCCTTTTACAAAGGTAACAACAGTTTCTGTTCTTATTACTATACGAGCCCTGTACATCACCTACGGTGGGGTCGGGCTCGGCCTGCGGCGCGTGGTCGGGTTCAGAATATGGGGTGTGCTCATGCTCTACGGTGGCACAGCGGTTAATACTATGGGTGCTTGATGAGGAGGTTCAACTCCCGATTTACGTCAATTTAAGAAACGAACTTTTCTAAGTTAGTTTTGGTCTGAGTATTCTGGGTATTGCCCTCAGATTTATCGTTATTCTGGTATTCATGCCATGCCATGTCATTTTCAGTCGAATTAGAAGAAATTTTTCTTAGAAGAAAAGTTCGGATGGCAGCTATATTGAAAAATGGCGAAAAATCATTTTTGACCGCAAATTATTACTAAACAGTTATAGAGACCCCGACATGCCGATTTTCAATCGAATTAGAGCAATAATTTGTCTGCCGCTAAAAAAAAGTTTGTATGGCAGCTATATTGAAAAAAGGCGAAAAATAAATTTTCACCACAAATTATTATCAAACACCTATAGAGACCTTCACATGCCGATTTTCAGTTGAATTATAGCAAATTTTTATAAACGCTTGTATGACAGCCATGTTTGAAGATGGCGAAAAACCAATTTTGATTATAAATTATTATCAAATACTCCTAGAGACACCGTATGTCAATTTTCAAAGGGATCAGAGTAAATTTTTTTCTGCCGTCAACGAACGCTTCTATGGCGGCCATATTTGAAAATGGCGAAAAACAAATTTTGACTACAAATTATTATCCGGCGCTTCTAGAGAGACGACTTTGAATTTTGTATGGCGGCCGTCTTGTTTATTTGAATTTCGAACATTTTTTCATTCCCGCGGATATTGCCCAGGGTGTACCTCATAAAAATGCACAAATATTCCCGCCGAGCAAGAAACTCTAGGGATTGCTCTTTTCAAATAAACTTAAATGCTATAGAATACATTTTGAATCATATTTGTGTGGAATCTAGACTCATGTTCTCTTTCCATACATTTTTATTTAACACGTAGCATACAATTTTGTAATATGACTTTTCAATTAAAATACTTTTAATGTAAGTTTTAAACTTAGGAAATGACAATCTTAATATATGCTCCGGCAGTTCCTCATAAAAGAGTCGTTTACCTTGGTTAAACGAAATTGTGGTACCATGAGTTTGGATTTAGCTCTAAGGTTAATATTATGGATATCTTATTTCTTATTGAAATTATGTATATGTTTACGGGCATATGAAGTATTTGAGTAATGTGATGCCACAGTCATGATACCAGTCCCCTTAAACTTTGCTCTGAATGAAACCCGAGAACCTAAACGGTAGACAGAACGAATGGCTCATTTTTGCAATACAAATATGGTTTGAATGTCTGCCACTTTAGCCCACATGAGAATCCCGTAGAATGTCCTACGGGATTCTCATACTATGGAAGTGACTAAGGTAAACTAGTCTAACAGTACTAACATCGGTCACGTAGTCTGCGGACTGCGTACGCAGCGGAGCTTAATCCGCTGGCCCGGGACGATGTACGATACGAGATTTTAACTCACCGCACAATATTGGAAAATGGGCACCAGTGTCACAACGCCGTAGTATACCAAGTTCTGTACACACGCTCGGACCAGACTGATCTCTACGTCTGTCAATGCAGCGATTTTGGACACGTGGTTGAAGCCGTCGATGTACGGAAGGATCTGGAATGAAATTTGAAAATATATTTTTGTTACAAAGGTAAACAAATTACATTTGAAATAGTTACGTTGATTGAACTCTACTACTCAGTCGTAGGGCAGATTAAAGAGAAGAAAGAGTAAGAAAATCTATGAGCGACACGTGGTGTCTTAGTAGCGATACAGTCGCTAATAGTCTACTTTTATACACACGCGTGACTGCATCGATACAAACGCGCGATTGAATAGCTACACTTAGGACTTATAGGCGATTGCATAAGATAAGATAAATTTATTTCAATCTCCCTTAATCTAATACAATATAAGCAAAACAAATGTAAATAAAGGTATTATAGTAGTCAAATAAAAATTAACAAGGGAATCTAGATTATACATTCTTCATAGTAGCTTATTGTACACATTAATATTAGCATCTAACGTGTAATTGCGATCATTGCGATTGCGACGTAATTGCATCGATACAATCGCGCGTTTGTATCGATGTAGTCGCGCGTTTGCATCAATGCAATCGCCTATAAATCGCGATGCAATCGCGCGTTTGTATCGATGTAGTCCCGCGTTTGCACCAATGTAATCGCCTATAAATCGCGATGCAATCGCTCGTTTGTATCGATGTAGTCGCGCGTTTGCGTCAATGCAATACACAAACATTTGAGTGTAAAAAAGCTGTGCTCTCGGTGATTCCCAGACAATTTGACTGAGGCCCAAAAAATGAATCGTGTCACCTGGTGCAATGCCATGCTTACCAAATTCAACGAAGGGGCGTCAAATTTGGTGTGGGACTAGTAACAGGTGACGAAACCTGTATTTATAGTTACGATCTCAAAACAAAGCAGCAATCGAGCGTATAGGTCTTTCGAGATGACCCGAAACCAATCAAAGTGGCGCGCGTGCAAAGTGCCTCTAATCGGATGATTGCTTCTTTTTTTAATAAAACTGGACACGTGGCTACTGTTGCTTTGGAGGATCGTTGTACCGTGAATAATGATTGGTACACGACCATTTATTTGCCGGAAGTTATTGACAAACTCCGGAAAAATAACCGTAAACACCGTATCATCTTGCACCACGATAATGCCAGTTCTTACACGGCCAGACAGACAAATGAATTTTTGAAGGTGAACAACGTTGACCTTATGAGTCATCCCGCGTACAGTTCCGACCTGGCACCTTGTGACTTTTATTTATTTCCAAAAATTAAGAACCCGTTACGCGATCAACGATTTTCATCACCTGAAGAGGCTGTCGAAGAGTATGAAAAATATGTTTCAGAGATTGTCACGGAGGAGTGGCATAAATGTTTTCAAAATTGGTTCATTCGTATGAAAAAGTGCATTAACGCTAACGGAGAAAATTTTGAGAAACAATAAATTCATTTTATTCATTTATAGTATTTTTTTCTTATTCATTCCGGAAACTTATAGTGCGCCGCCACGTATTGATAAGGCTGAATACAGGGTACACAGAGGCTGTTTATTGGATTTTAGAGGCTGACTACTGGAAAAAGGTGCCATTTTTTCTTTAAATCTAAATATAATATCAGTACAGAAGATTTTTGTTTGTTACATTATTTACATTAAAACTATAATAAATGATTGATCGAACTGTGTGGTACATTTTATTATCCGACCTACTCTGTACAAATAACTAAGATTCAAAATTGAAATTCTCGTTAAAAGGGTGACTACCGGTGCCTTTACCCTATATCACGGAGAGTGTGCGATGGAATTGCATAATTTTAATCCGTCTTCCCCTTTCCATCATCGGACTAGACGTGGTCTGGAATTCCACCCCTATGTTGTGGATATTCCCAGGATTTACGCGAAGCGTTTCGCTTCCATTTTTATATAGCGAGCGGTTAGAGAGTGGAATTCTCTGCCTTCGGACGTATATTCCCCGAACTTAGACCTTTTCAAGGCGAGAGTTAATGAGCATTATTTAAGGTGTGCATGCTACATCGTCGACCTCATCATCACTTTCCATCAGGTGAGATGGAAGTCAAATGCGCACATATTTAAAAAAAAAAGATAAGCAAGAACGATCTGGGCATAGAGAGAGAGAGAGAGCGTAGGGCGTTCAGTGAGAAGCACATGCTGGCGCGCTGGTTTGCACGTCGTAATGTAGAAGTTAAAACAACCTTTCTACACGTGCAGCCTGTGGGCCAAATGTACACGCAGGTCACTGGATGCTTTACGAATACAATATAATAAGCGTTCATAGTTTCCAGACTATCCTGCGCAAACGGGTAGCTTCAGTGATGCAGCGCGTACGGGACAGCACCAGCGATCTCCATTCTGGAGCGGGTAGATTGCCCGTTAGTAAGGCACTGGAATGCGTGTCACATGCACTCCAGAGTCGCCATGTATAATATTAAATAATTAATTAAATTTCATTCTTACTAACATAGTATAAGAAAATAGTTACCAACAAAATATGAACATCGGTTGGAAATTATGCAGCATGACCTTTGTTTTGCGAAAATGACACTTAAACATTTTTCATTGTTTATTCCAAAATTTAATTGTAAAATGAAAATTTTTGCTGTTGTCACCCCAGGGATGATGAATTGTTATGATTTATCACTATAATTTCCCGACAACAACAGCAAAACTTATCATTCAATTCTTGCTGGTTGACGCGTTAATGCTTATGAGCATCCATTTTACCTTAGCCCTTTTGAATAATAGCGTCTCTTCATTCTATTGTAATGGTACTTGTGGTGAATGAATGTACCAGCTGGTACACGAATTGCCGAATTAAGATAGTCAGCTAATTAATCATCTTTACCTATTGTTACGTAGCCTTAGTTACTGCCTTGCCTAGTGTTCAGTGAGCCTAAGGTTACTTGCAGTTTCTGAAAAATTTATATCAGAGTTTCGGCCTGCATCTTTTTTCGCAGTACACTAATTAGCTTCTCCTATTATACTGTAATAACCACCTTTTCGGTTTTTTATTTTATTTTTTTATAATATCAAGGGACGGGACGAGCAAGTCGTACGCCTGGTGGTAAGCGACACGCCATAATAGGAGCAGTGTCGCTCAGATCTTTAAATCACAAAACACTTAGGTAAAACACTGTAATTTCACCACCACCCTTACGCTTCAAACCGGAACACAGTAACGCACACATTACCGCTTGGCGGCAGAAATAGTTAAGGTGGCTGTACCTCTCTGGACAAATTCTATCACAAGGACTTCTACTGCTATTGTATTATATAAAATATATATTGTATATTTGTCTTTGTAATGAAAATATAAGAACAAAATATATACAAATATATTTTTTTCATCACTCGTACGTAAGCTACACAACGCGCCTTAAATAAAAAAGGAACATTTAAAAAAATTAAAAGCATTATAAAATATCCCAATAAAAGTAATAGATACTCCTTTTTCGTTATAAATTGTGTCATAACTTGGTATAGCGAAATTGCTTATTCTTCTTTTTCCTCATAAAATAAATTTGTGTCATAATTGGCTTGGTAACACCAAATTACCTACTTATTTGCCTCATTTAACTGTTATGGACAGGCGTGTCGCTTACCACAAGTCACACGACTTGTTCGTCCCGTAATTTGTATAATAAAAAATATATATATTTCATGTCCGTTTTTGTATTCTATTATACTATATTTTATATATAGTATTGTTCGTTTTTTAATTATATTTTACTTTTCTAATATTTACTTTGTTGTGGATAATTCCTCACTCTGAAATTTCGTATTGATTAAAAATAACTAAAAATCAAAACAAAATAGTATTTCATTTACTAAACATTTAATAAATGTTACATATAAATAAATAAATTATGAATAAATAAATAATTCTTATATAATTCATTGTTAGTAATTTTCTTACGCAAGCGAAAAATAGATGAAGCTTCTTCAAGTACTTTTGATTAGCACATTTAAAACAACTTAGTACAAAAAAGAATGATAAATATTAAAGTGCATAAAGTTTGGGTATGATTTGTGGTTGTCTATGTGACCATGGCACCATCATGGCGTCCATGGCATAAAGTAATTGCTAGTTATACATCAAAAACTTACAATAAATTTATAATAATTGTGGAATTTTAGAAGGAAGTATTGTATGCTCTATGTATATGTATTACTTCCTTGAAATTTAGACAAATATGAGTATATTCCGATCTCAGCTCATCGTCTAGATATTTTAAATTCACTAATTTTGATGAATTTGGGTATAGAGATAGATGGGACTTAGGAGAAGGATACAGGCTACTTTTGTCAAAAAATAAATCTTAATGGGTGAAATAGGGTATGAAAATTTGTGTGGAGAACTAATCAAATTATGAAAGTTAATATAGTACATGGTGACGCTATAATAAAAAAAAATTAAAAGGACCTCGATAGCTCGTGGGGAGCTGCGGGATAGATGAGCTCGCAAGTAAAAGGAATGGAAGCCGTGCTACCACCAACCTTTATGTCCGAAACGTTGTAGAGCTCGTCTTCTTTCACACACTTCACTTGCGGCCGATCATCAATAACGCCACCATGTAATAGATTGCGTACGCGGCTCAATGCCGGGCGGAGAAGCGGGATATTTAATTTAATAAATGATGCGATGTCGCGGATGCGGATTTTTCAGTTCGAATGTAACGTCACACACATTTATTTTTTAACTTCACTGGCGATGACTTTGGCGTAGCACGGATTAGGACAGGAAAGGTAAGGAGGTGCGAGCTCAGACAAACTATACCTGGCGTTACCAGTACAGTTACTCAAAATATTATTAAGTATTCTTGAATGTAGAAAACCCTGAACTCTTTCAAATCTTAGTAGCTTTATCCTGTCTGTATTATTTTAAACAAAATTTATTTTACTTTTCTGGAGATAAGAAATGAAAGTATTTCTGAGGCTACTTAAATACCCTAATATCTTTTCAGTTTCTTAGTTTCAGCTACAATCTTTTTAAGTAATTTTAAACTAACAATAACAAGATCAATAAAATATGAAAATTACAATTGCAAATTAACATGACAG